GTGCAGTGTACCTTGCTATTGTTACTGATTTTATTTTCATGGCCGAAAAGCATTTGCTATCAAAACGTATTTTTTTAAAACTGAACATATTTTCTTTCCTTTTGCTCAGAAAAAAAATGTAACATTTTTGTAAATGTAATTCTTGTTTATTTCTTTGATATTTGATGAAAAGTGCAGATCACATTCTTGGAGGGAAACATCTTTTGTGTCAAACTTGCTTCAATACTGCCTTCGGAAGGCCCGATCGATGTCAAGGAGTTTCCTATTTTCAGAATTTATATAAAATTTCTTTGCATATGCTCATTACCACTCAGATTTTTCGTTATTATTATTATTATTATACTTTCTTCTTCCGCACGATTTTTCGTTTTCAAACGGAAACCTTTCATTATGGTTGCCCTCCATCAAGTCGTACGATCTCAGACAGAACTTGCAGTAAAGCAAACTTCTGTACTGGTGGGATACAATGCATTATTTCCTTTTTTCTTAATGTTGTTCGTTAATATAGACACCAACACTCCAATGATAGCTGGGACAATGTTTGCATAAACATGACATATGGTAAACTTAATCCGGGAATCGATATATGAATTAAGTTTATTATTTTCTTTGACCTTGGTTTTATGTTCACCAGGAAGAGCAACATCAATAATGAAGCATTTTCTTTTCTTTTTACTTTTTTTTTAAACAACTCTGACATCTTATTTTGTGGCCTCAAGGACATGGATGTTAAAATCACACAAGGTCTTGACTTGGTCATTTTCAATCACATTCTTTGGCTTGTGATGGTATCATTTCTCATGCACTTCAAATTCAGACTTCACACATAGGTTCCAATGCAAATGAGAGACCACTTTATCGTGGTGCTGTTTGTAGTCTTTCTATGTAAGAGTTCTACAAACGTTAATGATGTGTGTGCCATGTGTCACCTCCTTGCAGCAAAGCCTGCACTTGTTCGAACGAATCCACTTGACGGTACATGTTCTTCCAAACATAATGAGTATTCAGGGTTTATTATTATATTCTTTTCTTTGATTTCTAGTGTATACTCATTTCTTTTCGGGACTCACCAGAAAATGGCATCATAGCATTTTTTTTTTATCATTTTTTGAGGAAGATAAACCTAAGATAACATATATTTTACATAGATTTAGCTCTTTGCAAGGCGTTGGCTGTACTTGTGAGTATATATTTTTTGTATTTCTTTAAGGCTTGGGCTACCAGGAATCCCTTCAATGAGCATATCCGAGGCTGCCAACTATTCTTCTTCGACTTCTTCTTCGTCTTTTTCTTTATTTCATCTTCTTCTTCTTCTTTTTCTTCTTGTTCTTCTTCTTTTCTTCTTCTTCTTCTTCTTCTTCTTCTTCTTCTTCTTCTTGTCTGACAATGAAACACGCCAAAAAGTAACGCTAGGGTACACATATACAAAGCCCTATCAACCCACTCAGTCTTATAAACGAATCATAGTCAAATATGTACAGAGTATAACGTTGTATGTAGCGCTCAGTTAGGAATACCTTCAGATAAGGTAAAGAAAGAATCTTAACCCTCTGAGTCCTGCGTTCCTGAACAATTTTAACCTTTCTGCCTCAGCTCCTGAGTCAAAATTCGCAAATAATTCGTATGTAATGTTTCACGGTAGATATAAAAATAGTTACAAGTGTTTGCCAACCGTTCAACCAATGGCTGGGCATTACGTCATTTTTCTCTACCACTGTTCAACCGGTGGCTGGGCATTACGTCATTTTTCTCTACCACTGTTCAACCGGTGGCTGGATATTATGTCATTTTTCTCTACCACTGTTCAACCGGTGGCTGGGTATTATGTCATTATTCTCTACCATCGGTAAAGCAATGGTCAGGGCTCAAAGGGTTAAATGCTATCCGTCCTGAAGTGCTACTTGACCACTCAGTATCTCACCGCTTCCCTGTGCATTTTTTATGAATGTTTTCATTATAATTATTGGCATGAGCATATTTCGACTTCATGAATTTAAGCGCAGTCCTACATTGACGGATAGATCTCTCCATTTTCCTGTTGAAATTACTGGATGTATCCATATTATCTGTGCTAATAGATTTTTTCTCTCGCACTTCTTGCATGTGGAACTTTTCCTGTCAACTACGATCTTTAAACATTTAACGTCAATCTTCATCTTTTTCTTTCTGAATGCTGTCCGTTTTATTGAACTTTCTTCTCAATAACGTTTTCTCAGTTTATGTCATTCTCAGTAAACTTGCTTGGAATGAAATGATTAAAATGGAGAATAAATTATTGAGGCTGTCACCAAGTATCCAGATGTGACATTCGATTTATTATTGAATATACAGTGTAAAATTTAGATCAAAATTCAAATTATAATTGCTTTAACCTAGAGTCTCATTGATCTAACTTCACATGTAAAGTAGAGGTGCTGAAATTTTCTCACTCCGGTGCCTACCGGCCTAAAACTGAAGAAGCATTTTTTGAACAGACTGAGAACGTTTCAGCACAACTTCATATCTATCTATCTATCTATCTATCTATCTATCTATCTATCTATATATATATATATATATATATATATATATATATATATATAAATCAGATGGACGAAAATTATAAACAGGATTAAGTACATTATGAAAAATGCATAACACCAGTTGACAATAGCAAAAAAATTATATTAATTATTTATTACAAAAAATTTAGAACCTCTAACCTCATATTTAAAAATAATAATTCGCCTCCTAGAACAAAATTAAATAGGGCAAATATTATTTACGAATTATATGCCCATTAAGGAATTGTATTCCTGATCAATCAAAATTCGTAAATAATTATACAAGCCACACATGCCAAAAAAAAGGATAAAAATAATGGAAGCCTTATTAACTCAAACAAACCAACATTTAATAATATTAACATTGAACATGGACACAATATCGTGACCGTATTTTGAAAAACTTAAAACATTTTTATAAAACATACATACAGTAAACTATTTCTTATTTTAGGAGTTAAGATATAATCCTTGAAAATGGCTAAATGTTTAGCCTAAAGCGCTCGGATAAAAAGAACATTCGGGCAGTTTTTATATAATTTATCGGCCGAAAAGGAGAAAAAATTATTAGATCGCATGAGAAATTGTATAAAAAAACTAAATAATAGCACCTTGTCTGTCGTTTTCAATGAAATGTGTATGGAAGAAGGATTGCTTCCTGAATACATACATACATACATATATATATATATATATATATATATATATATATATATATATATATATATATATATAAATTTTCAGTCTCTCTTTTCTTTCTCCATTTCTCTTCCCTGATTTCGTTATATATCCCTCTCCTACTGCTTCCATTTTATCCCCCCTATTTTCTCCCCCCCGTTCTGAATATATATCCCTTTTTTCACTTCTTTCTTTTTATTCCTTTCTCCCTTCTCCCCAATTTTGAATCTACATATTTAAGCATATTTATGCTTTGATAAATGCTTTTTGCCTGGTAAAATTTTAAATCCATTTTTGTGAAAATGTTTGGTCTGATGAGTTAAAACTGATGTATCGATTTTAATGAAATAAAATTCTACCATGGACTTTTAAAGTCACCGCTGTGATAATTATTATTTGCTCTGTTATTACATCTCTCTGGATCTATATCCGCTTTGGAATTATCCATACAGATTACCAAATAATATCATTATCATAATTATATATATATATACTTTATTGTAGGATATTACATTCAACAGGTAGAAAAAACGCTATACAAATGGACTCATGTTTCGTTGTGTCTCAACGCATCTCATCAGACGTTAATAAATGACTGATTATTACAATTATTAGGATTTTAATCACATTCAACCTCATTTCCCGCGAAAAAAAAGAAAGAAAAGAAAAAGAGTAAGAAAGAAAAACTTACGATATAACCTGTTTTCCAGAGAAAAGGAAGAAGAGAAAAATAAAAATATATATATATATCGGGAAGTATAGAGAATTAAAGTAGCAAAACTTATTATGTTTATAATCGGTTCAACTAATCAAAATGGCCGATGCTAAGAGATTATGAAACATGTGTGTGCGATCGTGTGTGCGCGCGGTAATAAAGAGAATTCTGTTTCACGGAAATTACATCCATTCGTCAGTAAACTTAAAAATTGCATTTATTATTAGAAATACTATGCCTCGTATAAGAAGTTATTTTGCCTTAGTTAGGCGTTAGTTAATTACTCTCCCAAAACATTAATTTATTTTCATTAAAGAAAATGTTTATTTATGCTGTAAACATTTTTTTTTTTGTTTCTATGTTAGGGCATTTTTGTATATAATTCGAAATACTTTTGTCTAAAAGCAGTTTTTTTCTTGCTAAATACATATGTAATTATATATGTGTCTGTATACTTTTTCTATGTATCAATATATTTTTCTCTGTGCAAATATACGTGTGTATATTTGTATATATATTTATACAGACACGCGATTGCATATTGCCAATAAATTTAAAAATAAAGTTTAATTTATTTGTATAGTGCATAAACATGTGTACGTATGCATGTGTGCGTATGTGTTTGTCTGTGTATGTGCGAGAGTGAATCTGAGAGAGAGTGACTGAAAGAGAAAGACGGAGGTTTGTGTACACAAGTGCACATGGGTGTGTATGCGCGTGTGGGCTACGAAATAATATATTCAAAATCCTTCTCCATAAGTTTCTATGAAATCTGCAAAACTGAAATTTCTTTGTCTTTTTGTTGCCGCTTTCCTTAAAAAGTCTCCGGTGTTTACACGCTTCGTCTATGGTATTCTCAGTAGCCATCAGTAGAACGAAATTTCTGTTGCCTCAATCGTTTCCGTGAGGAAATTGTCCAGCATTCACAGCAATATAGGAGTATCGATATAACATAACAGTTCAGTACTATTTCTTTGTTCCTAAAGAATTTTTCCTGTTTCTTATTATGTTGATTAGTTTTGGGAAATCTTCTTTTACCATTGTAATGCACATTCGAATTTCTGTCACAGTGACAGAGAATTGCTTGGATGAACCATTAAGCGAGCGGTAGGTGCCCGGCCACCGGCGGCGGTGCCTGCTGCTGAGGCGTCCCCATCACGTCGCACTGATGCTGGTTGGCTGATTACCATGAACTTTGTCCATCTTCGCTCTGACACGCGGCCGACCATGTGGGAGTGACGGACGACTGGCTGCACGTCGTCCCCAGTCCGCGACCGGCCGACCGGCAAGAACCTTGTTAATTCTTGTCTTATTGGGCCCCTCCTGTCTTAGTAGCGTGCACATTTCGTGTAACAACTTCTGCTTCCTTGTCAGTCAACATCCAAGCTTTCTGACTAGAAAGTCGGATTCTGCCGAATCGTGACTTCCCTATACGCAAACCATTTCCGCTGGACAGACACTGACTGCCAGTAGCAGTGAAAAGAAATGAAAGGAAAAGGAAGTTGAAGATGGATGAAAATCAAACGATACGGCGCACCAGCCAAGTCCTACGACGGGACGTAGGTGTTCACAGACTGACACGTGTTCACCACATTTCCTGTGTCGGCATTGTTCGTCCCACGAGGAACACTAATCGAGTCGGTCGATGGCTTAGTCTCAATAGATCGCAGTGTGAGGTCTACTCTAATAAGCATGACACAAAGAGACAGAAGTGTTACAGGAGCGAATTTGTCGAGACTTGGATCAGATGTTTTGCAACCCCGGCTTAGGGCTAAAACATTAAAAGACAACCAGGAAAGAGGGGAAGAAAATGAAATAACTGACTTTTTCTAGCTTCGACAGGTTGTTAAGCTACAATGAAAACAATCGGAGAATTTGACTTTTGTCAAAATTTTAGAAATTATAAAAAGAAGTTTTACGACCTTTAAAGGAGGTTGTCACAGCGGAAAGAACCAAATTCCTGCGTATTAAACAGAAACATGATGAATAATTTATGCAATATTTTCACAGATTAAGAGGAGCTAACAAATTCTGCTAATTTGAGAAACTTGAAACTCGATAAGTTGACTACTGAACACGTGTCGTAGAATAAAACAATAAAAGATATCAGATTTTTCTTCCTCTTCCCAGATATCTAAACTTCTTTACTGGTTTCATTCTGCAATTCACAATTCGCATCTTGGACTTTTTCTCTTGCCGGCTACCATGAATTCTGTTTTCTTATAATATTCTTTTTACTGGCTTTCCTTTATTACCCCCCTCTAGAAGGGCGTTTACTTTTCTTCCTGTTTTTGTCATCAACACAGTATCATTTGTGTATCTTATATTAGTAAAGATGGCGCCCAGCAATAATAAATCCTGGTTAGGTCACCAGCTCCTTTAGTATAGCCTCGGTGTAAAGTTTGAATAAATGCTTTTGCCGTACTCTCTCTGTCTCTCTCCCTCCCTCTCTCCTTCTCTCTCTCTCTCTCTCTCTTATCATTATAATCCTAAATATAGTATATTTTATTTTAGTATTCTTCTACTTGTTATATTTACGATTTTAGTATACATTGAACATGTTATATTTACGCTCTAAATTCTATTTAGCATTTAGAATTCGGATTACTATCTTGATTAATGCGGCCCATTTATCTGATTGACCGTTGGAGCTCGCATTAATTTGTTCCTTGTCAGGTAGAGAAATCCAATTATCTGGGATGTGTAGATTGAAAGTTTGACACCAAATTCGAAAAAAAATAAATGTGAAAGATGAATTCAATAAGAAAAATAATCACAATGTTATGAAATAGAAAAATATCGTTAGAAACAAAGGCAAAAGTAGTCAATGCCTATGGAATATATCCACTGAGGCAGCGAATTCTAGAAAATATTTTCAAAGATGACTCATAAATATATAAGATAGATTCTAGTTAAATGACCTGTCTAGCATGACACAGTGAACCAATTTTCCTAGCTGCAGACTTAGTTTACATCGTTTAATGAGCTCACATTGTACGGCAAAAGCCATCAACGACCCTTCTAAAATACGATATTAATTTAACTAAATATCAGATATAAATATACGTTTCTAAAAATGCCCGCTATTATTTTAGCTTTAAAAAAAATTTGGTATCAATTATCAAACTTAATGTCTTTGTGACGTCCTTGTCGCAGCGCCAGCTGTGACGTCCTTGGTCGCGGCGTCAGCTGCGACGTCCCTAAACAAAGCCTTCGCTCGCTCCTCGCTGCTCCGTTCGGGTGTCGCCGCTCCAAACGTGACGTCCGCCTGTCGCGTCAGTCGTGTTGTCTCGTCCTGTGACGACCAACTGGCTTGGTATCGGTCGCGGCACCCAAATGTGACGTTCTAACCTTTTGGTGATTCGGATGGGAATCTGGTTAGATTCGATATCAGCCTCGTCGTTCCCAACTCGCTTCCAACGCCTGGTTACCAAAGTAACTGCATTAATCTCCAGTCTGCCCACCAACGTTGTGAATTGATCTTGGGCAGACGACATCAATCAGTAGTTGGGGCCGTAATGCAAATCGGGTTCAACGGGGGTGACACCACACAAATATGCATAAAATAAAATAAAATGATAACTCAAAAATTCAAGGTATCAAAAAAAAGGATAACAAACTTTATGTCTAGTTGTTGGATACATAGGACTGCGTCTATTTCCCGACCCGTTCTATGGATTGTGACACGTTGTTTTTCGTTAGGCGAGTTTTAACGCTTCAAGTTGTTTGCTCTTTAAGCAATTGGTTTTTCGGTGTGTCTTCGGACGAAAGTCGAAAAAAAATTATTTTGGTAGTCTGGATCTAAGTCGCTCTTCAAATTAATTGTTCTTGGATTGAAGAGGAGTCCGGAATTTGCGCGAATCTTGGTCAGCTATCTGCGAGGCGGGAATTCTCTCGAACCGAACTGGAACTTAACTCGAACTCAACTTAACTGCAACTCAAACTGCAACTGATTTCTGCTCGCTGCGACTTCGCTTATATGGACGCCGACCAAAACCGGGGTGGGTTTGTCGGCGCCGGGGGTTCCTTGATAATTCTAAATACATATCCACCTTTTTTTATTTCTGGTTAGGAATTTTCCATTTTTTTTCCATTTTGGGAGCCTTCTCTCCCCCACCTTCTCACCATACTTCAGAGCGGCGTGAACTGCCCTCCCACTTCTTCGTAGCAACCTCTCATACCCATCCTTTAGATGGGCGGCGACAGCCTTCTTCGTGCGTCACGTGATCACCACTCGACCAATGATGTCTTAGTCGGGCGTGTACGATTCCGCGGCTTTGTTTCAGGAAAAAAAAATCTTGCTTAACTAAAAAAAAAATTATCTTTTTCTTTTCCTTTTCTTCCTTTTAATCGCAGTTATCATTTTCTCTAGCCGCAAACAGAACAATACGAACGACGGTGGTCATAACTCTTGTCCTTCACCTGGGCTTCGTCAGTCATCTTATCGCTAATTATCAGAATGGGTGTCTTTTTAACACGGCCAGACGTCGACTCGAAAAGAAAAATTTCTAAGTTCCCATTCATTTTTTCGGTACACATTTCTGATAACATAGTTTTATTATCGCAGGCTAAAGATATTCCGTCGAAAGAAATCGGTCAGTGGACACATCGTGTGCGGCTTTTGACACAATTAATTTTTCATATCTATCCAAAGCCCTGTAGTTTCACCTGTGTTTTGTCAATTATCAAAATTAACGTTTTCAATTGGACTTTTCTTTGGCTAGTCGTCTGGGGTTTGCTTAATCAGATGCTTTCCCGCACCAGCGGTTTGTTTATGTATCCCAGATAACACAGCCCGACGCCAGAACACACCCGATTCCTTTATCCACTCAGAATTTCCCTGCCATTCTAATGACACTCTTTCGCCATTTGTTACTTATCAAAATATCCCTTATCCATTGTCTCTTAGCCGTGGGTCTTCGTTTTGGGTCTTCGCCTCTCCTTTCCTTTCTTTTCTTTCTTTTCTTTTTCTGCCTTGGTAAATGGTGCCACATCTTGTAGTCCTTACCATCGAGGAGGGGGCCATGTAGTCTGGGCAGCGCACGGCCTGCATATACCATCACCCAGGCCTGCTCTTTGGAAAATACCACCCACAAAGAACTGAATTTTAACCAAATGGGACGCAATCACGAGACTGACTAATTACCTATATGAAAAAATGCAAAATCGGATCTCAATTCTCCCACGAATTCTGAGGTTGGAAAATAAAATCCAACCCCTACTTTACAGCAACTTACACTGTTGATATCTATATTATATTTTATCGACTTCCAGGTACTATCACTTTTCAGGTTTAACTAGATTTCATATTGATTTTAAAAAAGTATATTTCATTAATTAACTGTCCTTCATTACTGTTTTTTTATTCAAAGATTGTTTTGATTTCCCTATCAAAAATAGTTCTCTTCATGGATATTGTCTTATATAGTGCAGAAAAGTGTTCGAAATTTGCATTTTACTTGGCCTTCAACAAGTTGGTATAAATAATTATCCTCTTCTTTTAATTCTAATTAGAGATGAATCACAATTACCAGTTAAATGTCAAATATTTTTTTTTTTTCTTGATATTTATTTCCACTGGACTTCAAACGAATTTTTTTTTACATGTGTTTTTTATTAATCATTTTGATTTCAATTTTTTTTACCATTGCGTTTTCTATTCATGCAAATACATGTATTTTCTTTCTGTCAACACCTGTTAAATGTTATTTAGTTTCAGTTTGTTTAAAATGGCTAAAATTCTAATGTTTAGCTATCTGAATAAAAATAAATGTTTTCTTTCCTGTTTACAACCAATTTATGAATGAAATATTTATTTAAAATTTTGTTTCACTGATTTCAAGTAGTGATTATATCTTACTTTGCAAAGAGACAGCGATAGGGCAAAGCCTGTTAATAGGTTCATAAAAATTAATTATATTTTTCAAATTATAAGCCATGATTGAGGACCGTCACAAAAATGTGACAGTGTTTATTCTTCTTGTACGCGTCGTGTCTCTTCCGGACATGGACGATCATGCTTCTCTACAACCTTTTGTAGACTTATCAACGTTTGTCCCTCCGTAAGAAACCTGCTCCGTCATTCCTTAACACTAGCACAGCAAGTAGATAAACCCGCCACCTGTCTCTCTATCCTTCATGTTAGTGCCAAACTTTCCAAGCCTTAGGTGCCCACAAATTTCACCTGTCTTCTTCTGATTGGATTAAAATTGCTCCAATATTGGAGTACTGAAAATATCTCGGTCCGACAAGGCAGGTATTTTTAAAATATATATATGTAGATTTGATATTGAGTTATTTGCTCAGATTTTACGAGGTCGTCTCCAGGCCGATAACTTTTCAGCATCACTTAGTATACATGTTATTGTACTGTCCATGTAGGTCACTATAATTCAGTGCGCACTTTTGACCTCTGTGGACATTAATGGGTCCGTGGGTCGATTACTTCCGTTGCTTTTGGTATCTGATAGGCTGTATTATTTATAGCCTTAAAGACAAACACGCGTTTTTCTTGAGATTTGCAAGAACAAATGGCGTCCTGATTCGGCAACAATCAGACTCATAAATATCCCCAGTGGGACATTAAAAGAATGATTTCCGTTGAAGTGACATTTTCAAAATGAGAAACGTTGAAGCCAAACTTGTGCTCTGAAAAGCTTCCATAGCAGCAAATGCATTGCTAT